GTATAGTTCGATCCCGAAATTATGGATCACCAAGCAAGTTTACTTGCCTCTAGCATAAATGCAAATGAGGTTTTATAACGGCCAGGGTAGGATCTCGGATTTTTGACTTTTAGTTTTGATTATAATTTTTTAACTTCGAATTTTCTTTATTTTGGTCGACTAAATTGATTTTCGCAACTCTCTTAAAACGCCATAGAGATCCTTCCCTATTTTGACAAACTCTTCTGCGCCGCAAGCAATTTTGTGTAGGAAAAACAGGCCTTCAACTGTATAAAAAGCTTAGGGTTGGCAGTCGAAAAACGATCAAAAATAGTACCAAAAAGGGACTTTTTGGCTGGCGAGGTGTGGAAAGTATTTGAGGTTAATTAAAGGCCAGTCTACGGTGTGGCATTGTGATGCTCCGGCAGTGATGGTTCCCAGCAATCATATATTCGCTTGTTGCTGGTTCAAATCGCACGTGCATTGCACGTAAGCTTACTATGGGCGCTGATTACATGCACTCTTCGTCAATCTAAATAATTAATCATCGGGTTAGGCCTCTGGATTGGTTCTCAACAAAATATCAGGAAGAAAATTCAGCCCCGTTTGTACGAAAATATGAAGTCAGTCGCTTTAATACAAAAAACCGTTCAATTGGTCATTGATAACCGGCTCTCATTTTTGTATAAAAACCTACCCTATGTTGGTGTAGAATTTTTTATTTAAGACTCATCAAAGTACATTGCGAACGTATGCCCCCGTAACGAGTAGAGAGTATACTTCCACCGACTGAGCTTGAACCTTATACAGTAACTAAGTGTCTTCCGACCCGGACCGACCTCCCGTATGCCCAGCGATGTAATTACATTAAGCTTCTGTGGGCCTGCTCGAGGTGATAATCGTAGATGTGGATTAGCAGCATTTTGGCCAAAACGTGGAGGTCGGATTCGAGGATCCCGCGTTGGATGATACTCTGACAGGTATTGAGCAGCGGGTAGAAAGGTTACTGATATCTGACAAGTTGCATCCGTTGCTGTTCCGAGAGCAACTCTTGAAGCGTCGTAGACCGACTAGTAGTTTCGGTAAGAAGGTGATGGATGCAATCTAGCAAGCATTTCATCCCGGGGCGAGACATTCTAACGCCACCGGCTCGTATCGAAGGGGGTCGATCTCGGCGCACACTTCCGTGATAATAGGGTTGTTTCCTATCGTTAGCCCCAGCCTTTGACAAATGCGGGTTCATGTCTAGGGCGGTTTTCGATACAGCATTCGTAGTCAATGCAAAGGACCCGACAGTGCTGACGCAAGTACTTTACGTGCTACCTGGTATGGACTTCCTGCTCCAGTCAGTGAGAGCCTCCTCGATGGCTCAACGTGACCTCATGCAACTCCTTCGTTGTCGAATCAACGTTTGATGTCTAAGCGTGAACTTGAACTCTTTCCGGCAGAAAGCTTTGCGCTGCGCCTTATATATTTTCTGGGAAGGATCTCTTAACCTCGTGAGTTACCATTGTTGTAGTCAATGGTTTCATTATAGGCTTTATAGGTAAATGAAGCGCGAGAGTGAAAAATAAAGAGTAGCACGTTGACGGGTTTCGACGAACCAATACGACGAGTAGAAAAGCAAACAAACGACCATTCTCCTAAATATTTTGACTCTGAAAAAGTTAGTCCCTCCTCTAGTGAAAGTTATAAGACGGTACCGATAGTGATACCCCTCAAGTGGAGCTAAGAAAGTAAACTTTAAGAAACGGATACTAGATACTTTACGAGCGGATACTAGAGATGATTTGACCCCGGCATTCAAAAAATCCGCAGCTATTGGACCCCCGACCCAAGTGAAAAAGGTTCTGGGAAGCGCAAGTAGCCGTATCAGAACACGCTAACTAGCGGTTGAGATGGTACCAAAGTGCCATATGCTATAGACCAAATTGAGAGCAGCTTAAGATTGGAACATCAGACTACCTGGACTATTACTTTCAGTGTTATGCTCTTATTATTTGGTCCCCAACACGACAACCGGAAACCATTTCTTTCTTGCGGCCCACTGAGCGCAGGTAGCCAAAAGATTGGGATATGCTAGGTAGTAAAAAAGGACATCATTTATCATAATGTGAGCCAAATCCGGCGGGAAATAGGCAATTAGACACACCTTAGACAGGAAATAGGCAATTTACGCAAAATAAAGGAGGAGGGTATATTGATTTTGTGGTGGCTATAGACACTAGAAACGAACCCCGGAAAAGACCTCTTCTGAGTAAATCCCTTCGGCAACTCCTTCCGGTGTTGGTAACTTTTTCCTAGGAAAAGTGATAATGGACTTTAAAAAACGGCTAACTTTGGAAGTACTATGGGGATATGGATAAAACCTGGTAAATAGGACCCCTACAGGGTTTTGAACCTCAATATCGAAGTTGACCCTGGATGACTTTTAAGTGACCTCTAGACGTTTAGGGCCAAAAAATTTTGAAAACCCAGATACTAACACTGGAAAATGGCGCCAAACCTTTGGAATATGAATTGGTCACCTTAGTTATATTTGGGAGGACAATTAACAGTTTCTTCCAGCTTCTTCTTCATTTCTGAGTAAATGAGATTTTCCATCGCAACATTGAAGTAGTGAAGCTGATGAAAGTAAAACTGACAAAACTTGGGTTCAGCTTAAATGGGCAAGTGAATTATTATTAGAAACTCAATCAGACAATCGAAAAGTAGTCTCAGAAGAAAATGGCAGTAATAGGAGCGTAGCATGAGTAGTAGGTCTCCCAAATAGTACAAATAGACAGGATATTTACTTACCTTCCATCTCAGTAAGTGATTTAGGCTGACCCGAGGTGCAATTGGAATAGTTCCGGACGAAACAATTGTTAGTCAATTAGTTTAGTTGTTTGAATCCGAGTTCAGTACCCGGATGAGTTTTTTACGTGAGAAAGTTGCGGTATTGGAGTTGGCGAGTTTGGAGTCGAGCCAAGTTCAACGAGTGAGTTAATGAAGACTGTTTGGTTGCTTAGACTGCTTGGTTTTATGCTAATTGAACAATAGCCAATCAATTCAACTATTCATTTGACCAATCAGAATTTGAGTTGAATAATTTGGTACACATCCGACCGATTTTTCATTAGAATACTAATGAACATTGAAGGAAATGGACTTCACTCAGTCAGATCATTCAGGGTTTTGCCCTGATATACAATCAGAGCAGTCTTGCTCTTTTTTCGTGCTAAAATCAACATAAAACGTGGGCGAGTGAGAGGCTGAAAAACAACAAGTTCTCATTGTCGAACCAGCGCAGTCTGCATATTTTTAACCTAATAAATATTGCCCATCACATCAACAATTAAACACTTGTTTTTGAACATTGAAGCGTTTAGGAACATTCGCAAAAAGAAACTTTGATTTTTTTTGAAATTTTCATTGAATATGTGAAAAATATATTCGGACACCTGAAAAATGAGCCGGAAAATTAAAGGCTGAGTCCTGCTACGAACAGTCATTTTTTTTGCGGTAAGTTTTAGTTTAAAAAGTGAAAACTGAACTTTAAGATGGTGTTATGAGGGATTTGGGTGGTATCTACTTGGGTAGGTGTTGTGCAGCGGGGGTGGTTTAGGGGAGGATTAGTAGTTAGTAGTGGATGTTGAGGTGGTATGTTGAGTGGAATTAGGAAGGGGTTAAGTTGGATCTTGTGGTGGATGAGGGGGATAGGAAGGGGATGCAGATAGAGGACGCCAATTGAGCAAACTTGTGTTCAAAGAAGAGATAAGCGACCGAGTCTTCTTTCTGAGGGGATTTGGCGGCAACATGAAATTAGCTTTTGTGCAGACTGTTTAGTCTCTCTAATCTCCCCTCGCATTTGTTCAGCTGATGAACCCCCTCTACTCTACACCACTCTACACAACACAACACAGCACAGCACAGCACAGATCAGAAGAGAAGAGAAAATTGATATAGGGATAGGCGCTTGCTCAAGTGGGCCATTGGAGAAGGGAGGCACAGTTCATTCTGGCTTTCAGACCTCTTTGGCAACGGCCGGCCAATCTAGACAACATTTACTTTACCTGAATAAAAGAAACAGCAGCATTGCTTCTTGTGTTTTCAATTTGAATGGTCGCAACAGGCAGTCATAGTCACTCCATACATACAACACACACACACACACACACTCTCTCCTCTCTCTCTCTCTCTCTCTCTCTCTCTCTCTCTTTCTGAATTGAGGGGGCAGAGGAGAAGGAAAACTACGAGCGCGTAGTTGGAAGCAGGGGAGATTAGGGGGCTGAGATGGATCATGAGAAGGGGTAGTGATATAATGTCATGTTGTGTGTGTGTGGGGGGGGGGGGGGGGAGTAGCATGAAAGAGTGGGGGTCTTATCTCGAAATCAATCAGGTGGCCTGTGCGGCAGTCACTCTTCACTCTTTGTTCTCTCTCTATCTCTTTTCATGTCGTCTTTTCTACTCAGTGCAGATGATGTCGCCACACAGCACACACGCCATAGTAATTCCTATTCCTCCATACTCCCCCTCCCCAAACCCCACTTGACAAAGCGAGTGATGATAAGGATGCGATTAGAACATAGAGCCAACTGTGTGTAGTTCTCTTATGTTCACCAATGTCGTTCATCGTATACGGTTGCATAATCAGCCTTCAATTGTAGTCACTGATTCGGTGGCGCCAATTTATTTTTAGCATACTCGTACCCGATATATCATGAACATAGACATCTTATGCAAACCCGTATCCCGACATCTGGGATTAAGTTTAATACTTATAATTAGGGATTAGGAAATTACTTAATGCTATGATAAATACAAAAATGTCTAGCTGCAGCTAGACACTTTTATCTTTCTCATAGCATTAAGTATTTTCCTACTCTTAAAACTATTGCCAGGCACCAAAGCGATGTTGAAATGACATGTTTACTAGCTCACAGCTCCTTAATAACTTCCATTCATGCAAATAGGTGTGTGTGTGTGTGTGTGTCCATATCTATGTAAATATTACTTTGTGTGTGTGTGTGTGTGTTTAGGGGCCACTATCCTGTCTATCTTCCCCAGCCACAGACGGAGGGTGCACTGTGTGCTGTTTGCGATCGGAGTGGTCGGCTGTCTGCTCGGAATATTCGCCATCACCCAGTCAGTTCACACGCCCCTCCTCCTCATCTCATTCACACTCATCGGTAACACTTTTTTCATATGTCATTCATACTGTTTTTTTTAAAAAAAAAACAATGTGAATTCAAAATGACCACTTGGTTAAACATACATGCTGCTAGAAAATAGAATTATCAAAAAATGTTAAAAATCAACTACTACATCAGCATGTAAAAAAAACGAATAGAACTTGTATAAAAATGAATAAAACAATACTAATATTAGATACAAAAATATTTTCGAAAAGTTTTGGAAGAAATACACGAAAAAATTCCTATTGATTGATCAATCCATTCATTCTTTTTGAGATTATTTTCATATCTAGCATTAATATATTGTGTTGTTTTTTACTTGCCGGTGTAGTTGTTGAGTTTTCATCTTTTTTTCAAATGGTTGGAACAATAAATTAAAATAGAGTCCTGAAAACGAGTTGAAATTTGTAGCAAGCAATAATTTGTAATAAATCGAACAATTTAGACGTATTGCAGGGAAAGTTAAATCTAAACAAAAGTTTAAATTTGAACATTTGAACTTAATTGCTTGAAATGAAAATGATAGGCAGTTCATCTATGACAGAGGACCGGTGAAACTTAACGAACACACTAATCAAACAAGGATAGCCGGTCACTAGTTTTTTTACATTAGTATCTGCGTGATGTGATAAAAGGATCTGTCGTAAAACTAGAGTTCAAAAGTTTTCGACAGTAATAAAAAAAGGCAAATTGAACAAAAATTGTTGAAGACAACTAACTGAAAAAAAAACTCCAACATGATATATCACTCAACTCTCTCCGATGATTATTTGTGGTTGCTGATTCTGCGTGAAAAACAAAAAAAACACTCCAATACAAAGTTCCTCCCCGTTTTTCAAATGCTCGTAACAAAAAAATGAAATCTAGTCCAAATTTTTATCCAGCTATAATTAGTAATAAATGGAAAATTTTAAACGTACAGCTGGGAAAATTAAATCTAAGCAAAAGTTGGACTTTCAAAAGAACTAATGGATCACTCAAGCGGAATTTTTTCGTGTATCTCTTTTAAAAATCTTTTCAAGTTCAAATTTAGAGATACACGAAAAAGTTTCTATTGATTGATTTTTTAGTTCTTCTCAAATTCAAACTTTTGCACGCAGTTCGGAGTTCGTAAAACTAGAATCAAGATGAAAAGCAATTTTCGTGCAAAAACTTTGTTTGTATTTCAAATACTATCCGCTTAAAATATTTTATTTTTCGTAGGAAACTACAAAGAAAAATGGAGAAATTGTTTTAAAAAAATCTAATTGTTCTGGATGTAAAAATTTGCATGTTTTTGATTTTGAAAATGGCACAAACAAACTCCAAAATCAAATTTTAATTTTACTCCGGTAAAACGGTAAAACTAGATTTAATTTAAATACAATTAAGATAGTTTAAGCATGCTCGCTCAACTTATCCACGCAAAATCAGCAACCACAAATACTCAGCGGAGAGAGTTGAGTGATATATCATGTTGGAGCCCTTTTTTCCAGTCAGTTTTCTTCATCAATTTTTGTTCAATCTGCTTTTTTTGCTATTACTGTCGAAAATTCTTAAACTCTAGTTTTACGACAGATCCTTTTATCACATCACGCAGAACAAACTTCACTAATGTAAAAAAAAAACTGGTGACCGGCTATACTTGTTTGATTAGTGTGTTCGTATAGTTTCACTGGTCCTCTGTCATAGATGAACTGCCTATGATTTTCTTTTGTCTTGCTATTCCTCGGCACGTTACTCATTGTAGCCTGACTAGAATGTTCGATGAGTAATTTTTCTGGAAGAAGTTCAGATTTGAGAATAAATCCAGTGCATGATCATTTTTCCTACGGAGGTAGCAAACTTTGATTCCCCCATTACTTGTCTGTTTTTTTTCTGTTAACTAGAGACATAAGAAGACTTTGAAAAAATTTTGACTGATTAGTTACCATTTTTTTTTGGTCAAATTTTAGGTTTAATTTCAAGCAATTAAATCAACCGAGTGAGCAGGTTTAAATAGACTTATTGTAATAAACTTACCTTCCGAGTCAAGTCGTGATAAATTGGCTTTTCCCGTAAAAGAAACTTGAAGCTTTCTAGCGCCTTTACGGAAACACAAAAAGAAGTTTTCTCGCGCCTTTTGGAAACACAAAAAGAAGTTTTTCGTTATTAAAAAAATGTTGGGTTTTTTTTGTTTGGTTTTTTCTTTTTGAGAAAAAATTCTGTCGAGAACACTTGACTATCAACTATTACTATCAATTATACTTAAGTTCCAGGCTCTCCTTCAGATCCTCCCATCACGCCGGCAACAAAAAGAAACGAAACAATTTGAGAAAAAACGATAAGTCCGTCGAAATAAAAAGAGACTGGCTCAAAAAATCTGTTTGAACGATAGATCTTATGGTTAACTTCGAACCTTAACGATGACTTTCAGATAATTTTACTCAAAATGAAGCAAGTTTCTTTAGGTGATCAAGTTGCGCTTCAAAAAACTGACACTGCATAGTTAAGAGATGGAGTTTTTTGAAGTTATTTTTTCAAGTTATATTCGGAATACTATACTAGCGGATCTAGGATTTTCTCGAGGGCGCGGATTTTCAAAAAAAATTCAGAAAGTTTGTCGACATATTTTTTTATGTCGACTAATCTGATTTTGTGAGCTCTCCCAAATCGTTGAAAAGCTCCTATTGTTACCAAATTTTCTGCGCCGAAGCTAAATGTTCGAAGAAACAGACCAAAAAAGGCGTTTTTAGGCACTGTTTGCTATAGTATGACTATAAATTGCGTTTTTTTGGCGAGCGCTTCTCCTCAAAATTAGAATATGTTGGCGCCAAAGGCGCCTTTAAAAAAATTTAAGGGAAAATCAGCCGAAAATAGATATCTCAAAATCGTACAACAGGGGACCTGAGTCGGCAGGAAGTCGAGTCGCTCCCCCCTAACTCCGCTGGTTACCATAGGATTACGTGGACCATATTGAGAAACACGCAAACAGCATGTGGTAGGAAAACAGTTAAGGAGTCAAAAAATAGGATTTCTGATGGTTAACCAAATGATGTCACCGGGTTGTTGCTTTCCGTCATTCCGTATTGGCGCCCATATTTTCTAACTTTAGAGGAAAGCCAAAAAAACCGGATTTTTCAAAGTTTTCCAAAAAGTGCCCGAAAAAGCAGTGTAGACGTTTTGGACAAAACAGGGTTTTTTAGTGCTTTGGGAGACCTCGAAAAATCAATTTAGTCAATAACAAAATTTGAAAAAAATCGACAAAATTTTCGAAAGTTTTTTTGAAAATCCCCCCCGCTGAGAAGTTCCTAAATCCGCCCCTGCCTCGGTCAGTGTTCAGTCCTGCCTCAAATAATTGCCTCGAATAAACCCATCAAACAGCGTTCAGTCAATAGCCATTTAGTATGGCGAACCTGTTTGACATCTCACAATTAATTTCTCCAATACAAGAACAAGTCGCATTCTACCAAAAGCAGCAGCCCCAAAAAGGAGCAGAGGCAACGATTATCTTTTCTATTCTGTTTTGGGTCAGCTGTGAGGGGGGGGGGGGGGGGAAGGAAGATGAGAGATGGAGGGCGGCGTCTCTGTTGTATTTTTCTTCCATCTCTGCTTTTTATGCTCTCTTTCAACTGTGTCTTTAACAGAACAACAACAACAACAACTATAGGCCGATTAGATTGTGCGTCCATTCATAATTTGCTTTCATTCGATTATCCAATTGTTCATTTGAAAACAAAAAGGAGACCCCACCCCTATCTGCCTATTGTGTGGTGCCAATTTGGAAATACACAGTCAGAATATGGGAAAAACGAGGTGTCTCTACATCCACTGAAGTAGCCACCAAATAGCCCACAACAGAGTAGCAACCAATAACTCAAATTATTAATAGCACCAAAAAATTAAATTGTTGTTACGATTAAGCAATTTTTTAGTTTTATTGTCCCAGAGGTTAGGGGTTCGCCCAATGAGTTTTAAACCAAAGTAACGCTAAACTCCAGTTGAATCAACGTATGCAATAATTCAGGGTTTTTTGAAGTGTGTTACTGCATACTCATAAGCACAAGCACACAATTTAAACAGCACTCATATGCAGTAACACACTGGAACCTGATCTAAACTATATTTTATGATTGGATAAATTAAATGTTTTACCAATGTAAAGTATTTAATATTAACCAATCATGATCCATCTAACTAACAACCCACTTATTTGTAAGTGCTGAAGTTACTTGTAATTTCAGCACCAGAGAGATTTGAATTTAACTTAGAAATTAGTTGGACTCTCCCGAGCACTTCAGCAGCCGCAATAAACCAGTATACCCTAGATCTATTGAGCCTAGCAGAGACTAGTTAAACAACCTGAGACTAGATAGTATAAGAGTAAGATTAGGATCGGTATTAGACTAAGAAGTTGCACGAATCTATCCGGCCGAAAATAAGATAGCGTGACGAGCAGACGGTGTACCCTATCCGAAATTACTCTATGAGTTACACTCCAGTCCTAACTCATCTGGTGCGACCATAAGTCTCGAACAAGACCTTATTAGATTAGAATTAACCAAAATTAGATTAGAAATTAGACAAAAACATTTACAAAATGTTATACGACAATAATTTAATTGAAATGTCTCTCCGACTCAATAGATCCGAGCCAATATTCCGAACCATAATAGAACTACCCGGAATTGGAAGAAGACATCGAACCAAAGACGACATACGACAAAGTAGAAACTTGCCGTATAGTTACATGATAGTTCGGCAAAAGCCAGAACAAACTTTTATATTTCGAATACTACTTGCAATGAATTTAGATTTCCATTTGCAAACATAAAACCTTGAAGTAAATCTTCAAAATCATTTCAGGCGCTAAACAAAATTAATATTATACAATAACGATTGATAAAAAGATCTAAGATCGTTTTCCTAAAATTCTGCAGTATTATACAAAACATGTTTGAAAAATATTTATTGGAAAATAAAAATAAAAATTAGTAGCATGACAATAAATGGTTAGTAATCATAAATCATCCTGT